TAGTTGTTAATGAGCGAGAAATCAATTTGCAAAAGCCATTTCATATTCGCGCCTAGCTTATTTTATTTATATACGGTTAATAGTGAATAATTATTTTATACTTGGCAATTTAATTCTTTTAATGTAAACTAGACTGTGAATTTTTGTGCAATATATATTTTTATAGATAGATGATCTTTTGTCAATCATGTTTTATAAATCGCCCTTGAGTGAGTGTCTTAAAAAATATTTCCAATTATAAATTCTGATCCTGCATTCGAGAGATAATAAAAAATTTTCATTAACGAAAGGAAAGTTTCTTAAGAGACAAGTCAATTCAAATCTGTTTTATCAAACGTAAATCTATTAAACTGCAATATATTACTTTTCATTTATAAGTTAGTAATTATTGCTTAGAATTGTTAATAATATTCATCCATTATATTATATATTATGTTTTAAATTTCATATTTATGCATTTATGCATTCAGAATTAATACGATCTTTAATTGGAAAAGACCCAAAAGCAAATTTTTAAATGATTTATTAATTAGACTATCTGCACGTTTAAGGTTCGCAGAAACAGTAGAAAATTGTTTCAACGTAATGCTTCTGGTTCAAATGCTCAGTTTTATCGTTCAATTATGCTTCCAGTGTTTTCAAGCGATCATGGTACGGAAAAAGAATCATATTTTTTCTTAAATTTATATTTTAAAGAAATATTATATAAAATAATCTTCTATTATATAAAATATGTTCCTTTTAATGTAATTTAATTTATAGTTATATAGAGACAAAGCAGAGCGATTTATGATGTTCCATATCATACTTATCATTATCTACGTAGCTTGTGTGATGGTGCAATTATACCTGTATTGTTACGTAGGCGAAAGACTTACGCTGGAGGTATTACTTGTGAGAGAAAAATTAGTCTCTGTTTTTCTGATAGAAATTTGAATATTAGATATTTAGATACAGGATAATTTAGACATGTCGACATTTCGAAAATATATAATAAATTTTACAATTTTTCAGAGTACGGATGTAGCCAACGCAGCGTACAATTGCGAATGGTACAGTTTACCTCCAAAAGACGCAAGACTACTTGTAATTATTATGTGTCGAGCCACAGCATCGCCGCTAAAAATTACAGCGGGAAAATTTTGCTGGTTTACTGTGCTATTATATTCTCAGGTAAGTAAAAACGAATTGTACGATATATGAATATAATTTTTAGTGAAGTCACCCTAATCCTACGAAAATTGTGATCCTTGAAGATGCGGTCATAAATTACAGTTCATCTAATTTAAGTGATTTTAATATGTAATGTATTATCAATTTTTATAGAAGAATTACGTCTATATGAAAATCGTTCAATTTTACTAAAACATTCAGCATATAAAATATCCATAATCGTATACTGTAGCTCATGAAAGTATCATAAAAAAAGAATTTTTTCGGATATATCATATGTAAAACAATATGTAAAACATATGGAAATTCCTCTAACATTATGAGTGAATGAAATATAAATGGTTTAAATATATTGAAATCAACGTGAAAGAAGTTACAAGACATTAACATATGTTTAGTACAAAATTAGTATACAGCATGAATAGCCATGTTAAGAATATAATAAGAAATAAAAATAGATTCACTAATGATTAAAGGTTAGCATAAAGAATTGTGAAATATTTTTATATGTGTTCTGCTAATTTTTCTTTGTTTCTTCTTTTTTTGAAATATATACTTGTACTCTAATATCTGGGAATACATATAATATTTATATTATATCACATTAAAGTATTAATGAAATTTCAATGTATTTAATGATGAAAATACAATTCTATTAATGTTCGAATACTTTCGATTGCAACACTTTTGTATGTTTCAGGTCCTGAAAACCGCGATGTCGTACATTTCTGTTCTATACGCAATGCAAAGTTAATAAAGGGAATTCCATGATTATGATTCTTTAACATTTCACTTCGATAGTGCAAATACTATGAAAGGAATATTTTAGTATTCTATTCAGTTATTTCGTAGAAATAAAGGATAAAGTGACGTTTTCAACAATTAACAACCGTAGAAAATAATAAAGCTATCATAGATGTTAACGAGATATTTCCTAAGTAAATGTTTCTCGCAAAATCTCGAAAATATCATTTCTCTATCCTCGTATTCCTCTACATTTTTCACATTTCTTACGTGTACTCTCAAATATGTATTTGGCTGGATCAAGTAAAAAATTGAAAAACTGGATACATTGAAAAGACCGATAAAGAATTAATAAATGTAGAAATAACGAATCGATAAAACAATGGAAATTTAAGTATAAAACTTATATTCTGTTGCAAATTCCATTGCATCCGACCATTTTCTTAATTTCTTCCTTATCCACGAATCACCATATGTCACTGAAAGGAAAAGATATTAATATTACTAACGTAACAGACTTTCACAGTTTATAATAATACACAAATTATAAAAATACGTGATATATCGTGTCTATACACAACTGCTAAAAAATGTCAAGATGTAAATCATTTTTAGTATTACATAAGAAAATTTTTAAGCTTTATTTCTATTTTGCAATACGATTTTTTGTATACACACATAAACTTCATCATTTCATTTTTATGTAAAATATTTTTCGCGGGCTGACCCGAATATTTCCTAAATTTGAAATCAGTCGCGAAGGGATGAAATTTTTTTCACTTGCAAGTTTTGATGTACGTTCATGAAAGAAAAATAGAAGGGACTAACAATGCTGAGGAACCGCGAGCATATCTTGTTCCACGCTTGTCGCATCGTACCCTGGGCAATATCATAAATAATTACGAACGAATAATAACAAACTTGTGGCAAACAAACTGTACCAGTTAGTTTCAACTCAAACGTGCAATTGAGTTCAATCGAACTACAAATAATTGATGACATATGCGCATTGTGAATGCAGAATAAGGGCATGCGCTGAGAAGAACAATGAGGTAACTTTCGAATCACCTGAGAACAGTCACGCGAAAACTAATCGTCATGGACGTCCAATGAGGTAACGTATTACGTACTAACTTACATATGGTTTCGATAGTTCAGAACAAATAAGCAAATGAATAAATATTTAAGTAAAGTCAATGCGAAGTTTTAAAAAAAAAGAAAACTGGGATTTTTTAATATGATAAATACGCTGTATTTTATTGGATGATCTTGTACTGTTGATATTGTTGATTTCTGTATGCTAGATGAAGATGAGAAATTGGCTGATGGAAATTGTCTAATGTCGAATTTTCCTATACCTAT